CAGCCGACGCTAACAACGCCGAGGGGATTCCTGAGGTGATAGCAGACTGCCAAGCTAGTCCGGTACAGCGTTCTAGGTAGTATGGTGATTACGGTGCCGCCTCATGCTATATCTCAGGCTAGCAGAAGCAGCACTCGTACCTCATCGTAGCTTGTACCCTGTGGCCTACTTGAAATAATGAACCTGCCGGTGTCCTGAGACTAAACAAAGGGCGCGATAATCGCTGTCGTCGTCATCGTCGCGATCGGCAAAGGGATAAAAATGAAGACGGAGGAAAAAGAGAAAAAAATTGGTTTTCTCACTTAAACGGTCGGTTATGGGCCGGGGGAGGATAAAGCAAAAATCATTACACCCAGTGGAATCGACTACGGTAGGGCTTATTTATGCCAAAATAAGGTAGTGCAGAAGACGTAAGTAGACTGGGTTGTAGGTAGGGTAATTAGAATGCGTTAAAAGGTACCATACACAATCCGAGCCGTCGATTCCGCTGTCGTTTTGATGCTAACAAGAGTCGGTGATAATACGTAGACTCACAAGCGTCAGGGCAGCTCCCGTCCGAACGTGTTCATTCCGATTCGCTAATTAGAAGAAAGATCGCCTAAATCCGATTGCCAAACGTACAGTTTATTTGGCTGGTTTTTGTTCAGAAGACTCTTGCGCTCCATAAGCCCGGGATACATTGAAAATCTATTTGACCTTGAGACAATGTTACGTCATGATGCCGTACGGAATTTCCGCTGTCATTTCAGTCACCGGCTCAGCATCGCCCAAGACATGATCTTCTCATTTTGCAATAGCGGCCGGTACGTAACAGTCGAACAGGTAAAAAGCATGCGTTACTGCGGCCACGACAGCAACGTTAGTGCAAAGAGAAACTCATGAAAAAGATTTCTGCTTCACATTAATTATATCCCCATATAATTGTATATTTTCTAGTCTAGTTCAAGTCAATGACTCTTGCTTTCTCTATAATTCTATGTTAATTAGTTTACCGAATTGAAGTTACGAAGACAATCGCTCCATAGACGTGCATTAAAAACACAATCAACCGTAATACGACTGCCACTGAGTGCGCGTATTCTCAGTCAATATTGGAAACGGCCATTCTTGTTGTGCAATCAATCAAATAGCCAGTCAGCCTGCAGGCCAATTGCTGATAGACGGACGGACGGGCGATTATATGGATTATGGCTTGAACGGTTTTGGTTCCTTGTCAGACTTCCCCGCCTCCGCCTCCCCCTCCTCCTCCTCCTCCACCTTATTATTCTTCTTCCTCCTCATATCCTTCCTCTTATTCTTCTTTTTCTTCTCCTCGTCCTCATCCTTCTACTTGCCTGTCCCATTCCAGACTGGCAGAGGTTCTAAATGAGGTAGATCCGCAAGTTGCTATTGTTACTATAGACGTACTTACACCTGCTGCAGTGAAAGTTACGCAACAAGAACAAGCCGTGTAACTCTTTTGCAAAATAACGCTATTGCACAGCTGTTTGTTAATGTAATTAGACAACGGGCCGATTTCAGGCGAATTCGCCGACGCATCTCTAACGAGATCGAAGTACGGTCAGACGAAACCTGCTCTAGCGATTCTATGCAATCTAGCCCCACGATTACCACGACAACAGCCACTTCCCCTAAAAACTTTACGACCACTTCAACTGTTGTTGAGCATCTGTGCCATTAACTAGATAGCTTGGTTTGCCTTTGCTAACTCGGTCGTTTGGCTCGATTAACTTTGACTCTTGAACAAATAAGTGTATGGACACCGAAGCATGAAAAACTGCCAGACAGGAAGGAACCTACCAGTGCACCTGTTCTGAAGCAGTAAGATTTGGCTACCATTACGGAGCAACCGTAACCGGGGTTGCTGTTTCACTTCACATTCTGCTGCTCTTCCAGATTTCCACCCACACTTTTCTATCTCTAAGAGCGTGATTTTATGCCCATGTACGTCCTTGTGTCCTTATCTGCGTTCATCTCGCGTACCGAAACAGTCCATGGACAAATCCATACTCTAGCCGAGCAGAAACGTTTTGTAATGTTTCCACCTCGAAGCCGTAGCTCGAGTAGCCAACGGTCTTGGGCGTCTCTCTTCAGAAACTGAGCGCTGGGGTTGTTTACAAGGAGGAGCATATTTCTCGCCCTTACCTGCCCTTGATATCTCCCGACTAACCCCATCCTCCTCTATAGTCGAGTCCTACGAAAACAATACACAAGTGAGTTAACAGCCTGCCAGGTTGAATAATAACAGCATTTAAAAAAAATAGTATATATATATTTCTGTTGTTGTTAGAATGCTCGTTAGCACATTGCTGATAGAGCCCTCTAATAATTAGAAATGGCTTCCGCGATAGTAGCGGTCTATCAACATGTGAGAGCATATAATATTCGGAGCGTAGAAGCGTGTTGAGATCGACAGTGCAAACGTTACCAAGCGCCAATGAGTGAACAGATAAAATGAATGAAACCGCTGGCTGACGTTTCGATGTGAACGGTATCGCATCTGACCAGCCTTGACATATCTATTTACGTTAACGTGTTTGCAACGCGGTATAACCTACAACATTGGGCGTTTGGACGCATTTCATTGAAGGAAACAATGTTTCCTCACCAGCGGCCCTTTCGAACCTGCATCTACAATAACGTTTGTATGTTCCCGTGTAAAAACAAACCGTCAAAGGAGAATAGTTTTTTTTTTTTTAATTAACATTTGCCTACCTCCAAAATCCAACTTTTTTAATGTCTCAAGCCGTTTTGCGCAAGCTGATCTCTCATAATCATTCTTCGTCATCCTCATCGACAGTTTCCAGCATCTGCTAGGCACAGTAGCTTTGACATTCTAATTACACAACAATTTTTAACAATATTTCATTGCTTTGAAAAGTAATTTGCTGGTATTGAAAGTAATAGCCATCAACAGCTTACTCATATTTTTTTTTCCTTACGTCGCTGTGTCACCAGTAGTTATTCTTTATCGGGATTTATTACACTTTACCGTGGTATTACAGTTAAAAGTAACTGTGGATAATCTAAGCACCAATGCAAGCGTCGCGCACAAAAGCAGCTAACGCACTATATCAATAAATAATGCGAGGTAACGGTTCATCCCTCATGACCGACTCACAGGGCGTACGTCAAGACCTACCGGCAGCCTGTATGGTTTCAGGGCACCATTCTCCCTGCAGTGGGAGAATGAGACGATGACGAAGGACACCAATGTGTGTAAGTGTAGTCGAATTTACTTCATGATGATTTAGGTATTATGAGCACAGACTTCTGTGCAGGCAGCAAAATCAATGGACACAGATCCTACTTACTGCGTCGCTCCGTGTGGAACCAATTTGCAGAAATTATTGCCGCTCTATTTAATATGTAATAGTGTTGTTGTGCGTGTGGTCCTGTTAGGCGTTAATTAGTAAGTTTGTGCAGCAGGTCGCTTGCTGAACTGGCGAACGCATGCAAGGCAATACTTGGTCCTCGACAACCTTGGCTCTATTTTATAATAAGCCGTTCGCATATAGGTGGAACTGCTGCTTCGGTGGAGCGTAGAATAGACGACTCACTAAAAGATACATGATGGCTACTTTTCGTCGGAGGTTGCGTGACAATGACAATAGTAGAAAAGAGAAATACAAAGATCTACAACTCTATTTCAGATCGTTCCGGAACTTTTCAATCTTATGATTATTATTATTTTGTCTTACTTCTAGAAGTAACACTTGCCGTTACCAGGTAACCTCAAAAAATCTTGTTCATTCGCTTTCTCCTAAACTTCAAATATCTGGCTGACATTTTATAGCTGTGACTTTTTCCCGTTGCTTGGCCACAGTGGGACTGAGTGTTCTATCCAAAGTTGCTCACCTAATGTAAGGCCTTTTTGTTAAGAACATAAATTTCTTTAAATGAACATCGTAACGCTGCTTGCGTGATGTGTAGGGTTCCAGAATACATGTCGTTATTTTCATAATACGTTTTTAGACATTTAACCCTGTCTAACAGCTCGTGGAGGAGCTAGAAGGATTTGAATTTTACATTGATCTTACAGGTATCACTTGAACGACAGCCTTCCAGTATTATTCTTTGCTCATCATGCAAAAATCGTGTTTCGCGCGCACGCCCATTGTAACTTCCTGCCAGTGGGTAGCAAGCAGGCTTGATCCAATAGGCTACGGATCACATCATCTACTTTCGAACGTCTTCTAAAATATTCTCTGACAGAAACGAACTTCTGCGCGCAAAGGGCGACAGCTGCAGCCCACACTGGCCCTTTATGGCTTACAGCCTGCACAGACAGAACATTTACAACATTCAGCGCACGCGCAGGTTAAATTTTTGATCGATGTTTAAATTAAATAAGTGTGAAATTAGTTCTATGTTACTTCTAAGCATCAGAGCTTAGAAGTAAACTATAAACCGTTAAGGCATCAAGACGACGTTTGATATCTTTAATCAGCACTGTGTGTTTGGCTAATTTAAATGGCATAGAACAATCGGTCCCGCGTAAAGAATACTAACTGGCGTGCTATATGTCATGCAAGGTCTGGGCCTTCTTAGCCCATTTTCTGCCTTGTGCTTCGCACCTTTTCTGTGTAGCTGTTATTTCAATTGTTGGTTGTGCATTATTTATAAAATAACGCGTACGCTTTTACTCGTTGCAGGAAAGCAGGTCTTTCTCCAGTCGTTACGCTATAGAAATTGACCAAAGTTCTAATACGCGCACAGATTGAAGATTAAATTAATCAAAGAACTCTTAATTCAATTATTCTTGCATGAAGGAGTTCTAAACAAATCATATACTAATAAAATAAAACCTCTGAGAAGACTGGATGAAATCTTATGAGGTTGATACATAGGATCCGCATATCAACATGAATGTGCATTTGTAGGGATACGCTGAACGCTTCGAATACGTTGATGTGAATGAAGTACTCTGTTTCTTCTAAAAATGAGTCAGTATAGTAATATTAATGAGTTCGAATAGATTAAGTATAAAGAATACTTACTTGCAGCATGCTGATTGGTGTTTAGGACTGACGACTGAAGGAAACCCTTCGAGATCAGATCCTGAATCCGAATCATTCTTTAGAAGAGGCCCGTGAGGACCAGGGAACCCACTGCTTCCGCCTGACTTATACACAGCTGATAACGTCTTGTGACTTTTTGCTATAAGTGCATCCAGCTCACGACGCTTCTTCATCTTCTTGCACGGTACCCGAATACTAACTTCATGACGACGAGGGTCGCATGTACCCGCCTCAAGGTCTACCGAGCGTCGCAGCATCGCCATCCACCGCGCGACAGTGTGAATTAAATATTACCACAACACAATACTACGCGCTAGGCGTTCCCTGCGAAGTTTTCTCTTGTGGCTTCGATCTTTCAGAAGTAGGGTGGGAAAGACTAAAACAGAGGAAAAAATAGGATAGATTTCCTTTCGCTAGCTTATGATCACGAACCAGCAGTTAAGCAGCCAATTAAACTCGCCATCGCCAAGCCACAATTCACTTCAAATACATTTTATAGCGCAGAAGCGGCACCAGTGGCTCAATGAGTGGTGAGCAGTGTAGGCAAACCAGCTGTACCGTATAGTCAATGTGCAGTTAGGAAACAGTAACTTTCCGTCCTTTATTTACTGGCGGATTTCCTTTTTCCGTCGACCGCTCGGTGTTCCACCGATACTATTGGCTAATCCTGAGATATGGCCTAGTAAATGGAGATGGCGAGATAAGATGATACATAAAGCAACAAACAGCGGGATTAGAAGTACGGAAACATGAAATTAGCCTTAGTTTCTTGTCCAAAAAAACTACGGACTATACTGCGAACACACCACAGCAAGCCCCACACGGCACTCACTACACACATGCACGTACAGTGGAGGACTGCAGACGCTGGGGCTACAGGGGCAAATTGCTCTGCGCGAATCCGCCCCGGTGCTCCGCAAGGCGGCGGGGTGACGGTAGTAGTAGAATCTTCGATTGACTAATTAATCGAGGTAGCGCGCTAGCGGCAATAGTTATCCTTGAATTAATATTGCTTGTAGAAGTAATCGTATTACAAAGAATATAGCAGTTCTATGCGCTCTGAACCGTCATTGTTATATTCGCCGCCTTCGCCGTGGACTTCACAGCGGTGAGTATGGGTAGTACCCGTGTTACTTGGCTGGTACTAATATTCACAAATACACATACACACATGAACTGATAGATGGGGTTTGCCACCACTGCCGCCGAACGAGGAACTAACAGCAGATCATCAGAGGCAACGCGCGTTTAACGTCGCCGCGCGCCAATCAGCGGCGTACATCAGGCTGCAGGACTTTATCCCTGCGGGACACGACCGCCGTGGTACCGCTGCCTGCTGCGGTACCCTCTGGCCTGGTCTATGGAAAAGTGTGCGCTGTTGACGTCGGGCTCCTGTCCTTCCTTCGCCGACAGAATGTCCGGAGCAGACGACTCTCGTGAGGAAAGGGCACAAAGCAATACGCCTAGAAGCGAGAGGCGGCAGGACAGAGTGATCCTCTGGGGCAAAAAACCACCCATGAGCAGGGTCCACCAAGGACTGGCTACAAAGCCGCTATTATGATTGTAGGCGCTAAAAGTCATATCCCTATTGCTTACCCCTAATCATTTCACTGACACTCCCTGTCTATTGTCTTTCCCACGTCTAGCACGGATATACACTCAGGCCACGCTCTCTACCGTACTATCGCCTGCCTGTCAAATGAACGGAACACGATTGACAACGATATAGCTGATTAACAGAAAAAACTTAGGCTGAGAAGGTCGACATTAAAGAAGAAGCACCTTTTCAGATAAAGACTTTGTCCGAACTGGGACAGAAACGCGTGATGGTGTTTACGAAAGCCGAAGACAAAGACCATCCACAACAAGCTCCACATCGATAACGAGAATCGTAATTAGGTTAAAACGAAAAGCCTATTTTGGATTCTATCCAATATACATTAAATGTACTTGAGACGTACAGACTCATGAATGTCCTATAATAGGGAAAAAATGATACGAAGCAGTGTTTCACGAATGGTAAAAAGGACCAATTAGAGGAGAACCAGAATAGTATCGTATCGTTTATATCTGATTGTGTCCTTCGACTACACGATAAATAAAAACTTAATGTTAACAAGTTTCTTTTTCGGTACCCTCTGCAGTTCGGAAGCAATAGGTGAATATTGGCCATTTGTGAATGAGGTGTTCGCGCAGCTGACGCAGTGCATTGTTGACAAAGAAAAGCTTGTATCATGCATAAATAAATGTCAGCCTTGGCGGTTTCATTTTGTTCAAGAAGGCTTTAGCTTACCAAGTAGTGACTTCGGGTAGACATTCTGGACATACTGTTCTGCACTGGGAATAGGCTCATAAAAGTTAGGATAGGCATGTTAAGAGTTAGCGTGCCCTGCACTGCATCTCATAGACGACGCCTATTTTTCGGAAACTTGCGTTGTGATAAACTCCAAGCATCCGATTCCGATACAGTTCATATACAACGGTAAAATATATATATATACATACATAATAAAAAAAAATTTAAAACAGATGTTTGTAACTTTGTAACAGTGAGAAAGTCAGAACATACATATCAGAACCGAAGCGCACGAACTATACTGAAATCTGGACCAAAACCTAAAATTTTCTCGCCAAAAATAATTGCCACCTGGTGGTATTATGTAATTAATTCCGTAGTTCGTTGCCGACATCGAATTTTCTAATATAGATAGACGTTACCGATTTCCCTCAACATATTACGTTTTACAATTCGTGCTTTCCTCTGAAAGGACAAAAGCGCATTTCTTCTTCAACAATAAGGGAAGACTAAAACACAGCTCTTTAGTTATTGTATTTGATACGTATTACTGTATTATACGAAAGGGACCAAAAGCAATGGTAGATGTTTACATCCCGTGGTAGTAGTTAGTCCCATCTGTTGAGACAAACTCGAAAGTGCTTGGTACCTTAAACGTCCGGCAACAGGCGTCTTGGAAGCAGTTGTCATAATACTTGTAAACCCCCCAATTCTACGCTTCCGACATTTACAATTAGACAATGTTCATATCACTAATGATACATGTATTAGGAGCGTAATAACCTGTGGATCGAAGTTCGTCCAAGAACCTTAAATCACTGAATTAAACAAATGACAATTGTTTGGATTGTGATGACGATTAACGAGTAAAGCAGACATATATTGAAACGAAAATGGTCCTTGGATGCTGCTCGATATGAAACCGCACTGCTCGCCTTGCGGCCTAGGTTAAAGAATCAGTCGACCGAAAAGGCCCTATTGTCGACTCACGCGACTGATTCCGGAAAGTATCCCCAAGACATGGAACTGGGTTTGCTGTCTTCATTCAATACGGCCCACAATCATAAAGTTAAAATGCTTACACATTCTATTATTTCTTTTATTATTATTATTTGCCCAAATTGTATGATGTTATTAGCAATAATGCAAACTCGTTTGATGTTCTATGTCGAATGTGTTAGGAGCGATCATGACCTTGGTGTGCCATGCGTGTAACTTCCTTTGTCCAATTTTCGTCAGAGCAAATCATTATAACTTGAAACTAGTGTAATCAACCAGCTTGTTGCCAAGCAGACGACGTGATTGTGGAAAGGGTTCCATAATCATTATGAAGCGAGAGATCTCGTGTAGAACTGGCCGTCTCAAACCGGCACGATGGACTGACCACCCAAACGCAACACACGCTACTACTGCTACTACTACTACTACTATACTATAATAAGCAAAAAAAAAAACAAAAGTCTGCATAGTTTATCTTTTTATGATAAAACATAAGGACGTAGTGTTTCGACAAAAACACCCATTATTTGGTCACAGATATTGACCAACTTCTTAATAACCAATAATAATAAGCTTGAGCAAGTATCGAGTTTAGTAACCGATTCTAACGTACATGTCAGAAAGTCCACAAACAGCTCAGAAAAACTGAACAATGAACGAAGCTTATTTGATGCGTGTTTCTTATAACATTTGTGTGTGTTTAAATAAAATGTTTTACACGTTTACTAAAACTAGCAGACTTTTTTCAGATTATCTAGTGATATGATTATCTATCTTTCAGATTATCTAGCAAATATGATAAATTTATATCTATCTAAAACTTTATCTTTATAGAAAAGTCGTAATTAAGTATAATCTTAGTTGAAGTATAATCTTATTTATTGGAGGAATTAGTAAAATGTGAACCTTATCAATAATTTCGACAGAGCCCAAAACGGGCTTTGACATTAAGATCTTTTGTTAATAATAAAATAGCTTTAAACTTATTCCTGATAAAGCCTAAGTTTCTCATATTCAAAGAAGGACCTCATGTGTACGTTTGCCTTGTTTAATCTGCAACATATAGAAAGCGCGCTTATGAATACCTTTGAGCAGCCATACTTCACCGCTCTTATCGTTGTCACACCTTAACTCCATGTATAGATGAAAAAGCCGTTTCTAATGTTATATCATCGCATCTTGCAACTTTTATCTAGCACTTTTATAACGACTTTACGTTTCCAAACACAAGCACAATACAAACGTCTATTTGCAAAAAAACAGTTCACTCAGACTTATCTAATGCAATCAGCCCCACCGAAATCTTCGTTTTATTTACCTATCCCACGTCACAATAGGTATTCGATTACTGCAGTATTCTCAAAGGTTCACAAAAAAGTACAATTGACTCGACACGGTCCTGCCTGTGATATATTTACGATACTTATCCGCTCTCTCTTGTATATCTGCACTTTATGCAGTTATCTATATCAATCTTTGAGCAAAGACAACCTGAAATGACTAGCGCTCAACTGGAAGCATTCTATTACGCAGTCTCATCTTTTCTTTTTCAGTGGTCCATGACATTGTCCGCATTTCTGTACCCGCTGTCAGCAAAGCTCGCGTATCGGTCTGATAATACATCTCCATCTACCAGAAATACTACCTTCTCGAGCTCATATTTTTCCACACGTCCTCTCTTTCTCTTTCAATCCCCCGGTTTCTCTCAGGAGAGTGCGATACTTTCGAACATGTTCCAAATTTACGAGAGCGACCAGCGAACAATCCCTTTCACTTATTATTTCCAACAGTTACTCTGCACGTCTCTGTGAACGAACTGGGTCCATTGAATGCTCCTTCAAAATCCGCAACCCCACCCCCTCCTCCGCTCGCCCCATTTCCACCATAATGGAGATCCTGTTGTGAGAGCTGGAACAGCAAAATATAGGCCGACGTCGGAAGCTTAGACCGATGCGAACGTCATAGGACCTTTCCCAGCCTACTCGTGGTGTCTTTTGGCCACGGATAAGTTTCCGAGAATCTACCTGAAATTTCGATAGGCCTCCCTTTTTTCTTGACATTCGTATTCTTGAAACGACTGTGGCCTACGACAGGCTGATCCATTCTCTCGATTTCTTGGTCCGATGTGATTTTGTCAATCGCAGCCTTGCTATCGACAACCTTAACCATAATCTATTATCGATTATTATTAACAGAATTTTTTCGAGCGGCCACAGTTGAATTAAAAGACATTACGAACAAATCGAAAATCATCTGTGGAGTCCGTCATCTAATACGCTCAGTTGTTATATATAATTTCTTTATTTTTACTCCCGATTTTACAGTAACCACTATTTGCCTAAAATCACGAGTCGAATAAATCCTCTAAAGCACCTCCAAACCTCGGCTGCCGCAATGGCAGCTAGGCTTAGGTAACGTCGTGGAAGGCAGTGAGAAAAATTAAAGCTGCTACCACCAACAAAAACCTGTCACTTCCGCTCTTGGACAGTCGTCATGGCTCCCGTCAACGCCGACCGTTGAGACCGTCACTACGCATATTTTTCGAATGGTCGCATGATCCGGCATGATTCAACAATAGGTTTCAAACAGTCAGCATAACGTCGCTGTCAATATTTATTTCAGAATTGAAAGATATCTCCCACTGTATTAATATGAACACTTTGTATGGCAACAGGAGACGAGTTGGCTAGCAAGACGGATAAGCCGAAAACGTGTTTTGTGCGCGGCCTAAATCTGTCGTAGGAGGCTTAATTAAGCTTGTTACACAGCTGGGGAAAAGGCCCTAAAAAACAAGAGGAGGACGAGCTTGTATGACATCTCACAATCGACTATATAATACAATGTGATATGGAGCTTGCTCTCAAACTGACTTTGAACACAAAGGCAGCTTTGTCAAGTATATTTTCATGACACTATCGCGAGGTTTTCCGGACTTATATTGCTAATATTTAACGCAACTCTTATCTCCAGCTGACAATATCTGTTTTTTTATAACGTTCCACCCCGAGAAAAAACAGTGA